AAGTTTTTCTTAGTTGTACTTACTTGAAAGTAAGTGCAAAACATTCAGCAACCCATGTCTCAATGTATTTGGCTGGTAGACCCAAGGCTGTAAGTGCAATTTATTTTAACATTGTCAGGTTGATTCCAATTTATGACATCCCTTTTCAGGGGTTTCTAGGTATAAAATACTCAGAAATGGTCTAACAATCCATTCTTCTGGGTGTACTTTGAGACTGTGTTGCTTGACCCAAGATGATACAGACTGCTTCTCACAGGAGGCACAGTGAGGAATCAGTTTCTTCCTTCAGATGAGTGAGCTACGTATCTAGCCAACTATAACTACTTGACATGGTCATTGTAGTAAAATTCAGTATGAAAACAGGCATGGTCACATAAAAAGTGACTGCATAAGTGACTTTGGAATGTTAGAGAAATATTTGCATTCTTCAGGTGGATTTGTCATGTATCTGAAGAAGCGATACAATCCATGAAAATGTATTCAAAATAAAAGTGGTTAAGTTTTAAGGTTCTACAAGACTAATATGACTACCCACCCTAGCAGTTTGACCCGCCCTTGTGTTTTGCCTGGATAGAATTTCATGCTTGGAAATGAAGGTGCCCGGTCCTGTGTGTTCTGTTAGAAGGTCTTGTACTGATGTTCTCAGCCTCCTCTGCCTGCTACTTTAGAAAGTAGCAGGCATAGGAAGTACTTGAGTCATTCTCTCCTACGACCAATAGAATAAGAAAGGTTATAATTTCCATTGGTGTTCATATGTGAACTAGGACCTATTGAGTCATAGCAACAGTTTGGATGAACAGATGCAGAAGTGAACATTCCTTGTGTATGACCAAATGTCTTTGTGGATTTCTGATTCAGTATTGCTATCGTGTGTCACATCTAGGTGGGTTGCGTACCAGCAGAAGTACTTCTGTGGAGAGCAATATGTATTGGAGAAAGGAAAATATAAATGTTTTTTGGACTGGGGAGGATCAAGTGAAAATATCATGTCAATACGTCCTGTTAAATTGGTGAGTTATCATAGCCTACAAAATTATTTAATGCAGAGGATGACCAGAATTGATCAGCAAAATGAGATGCTTTGCAGTTTTAAAACTGTCCCATTGTGTAAAAAATGTTCTCTCATCCATTACATTCTGGCTTCTTTTTACAAAATTTATTCACCATTTTCCTATTCTGTTAGGAAAGGGATGGACAACTTTGGTAGACTTGTGGGCCAGATTTTAACTCCGTTATTTGCCACTGACCACAAGATGCCTGGAAAGAACCAAAAGTACCCCTGCAAATAAGAGAGGAAAATTGTTTGGTTACATATTTCAAATTTTAATTGAGAATGGGGTTGGGAAGGTGCCCTCAACCACTGTAAACTGTTGTTCCTGGAGACACCCAGGTGCTGATAAATCAAATATTTGACAAAAAAATGGAGTTCTTTTTCTTGTATTGAATCAAAAGTGCTGTCAAATTGAAGAAACATCCAGATTCACTTTGGGTACACTTCGAAGCCCTGTCATGGACTGCTGCCTTGTTGTTTCAAGGCATTTCACTTGTTTGAAGTGTGTAGTGAGAAATGAACTTTAACCTCTAGCGTGACTTGAGAATTCTTGCATAACAATCCTGCTTTCCTGTATAAAGGAAATCTGTGACATAATGAGCACCTCATTCAGAGCTCTACCAATTTGTGTCAGCCGAGAAAAACGTGTTCTTTTAAATTTTGTCTCCAATTGTTTTTAATGAAAGAGAATTAAGTACAGTATACTAGTTGGCATACTTTTTTAGCCTATATAGGAGAATGTCTTGTGGAATGAGGAGGTTTTGGGTCCTGACTTTCCATCAGGTCAGCAACAGTAGCAGTTCTTGATTGTTGCAGTGTGGAAGGCTTTGACAACTGACCTCCCACTCTGAGTGCAAAGTGGGAGGTCCACAGTCTTGTGTAGCTACTCCCTTGCCCTTTATGAGGGTTTGTAGTTATTCCCTTAATAAAGTGCCCATATTTACATGATGTACATGCCCTTTTTTGCAGGAGCCACTGGGAAACAATGAACCCACACACTGGGTGAGTTCTTCTAAGAACATAAAATTCTTCTCTTAAAAGTCTGTGTTACATGCTTTGTATTTTGTAAAATTCTTTGAACGTTAAGTCTGGATTCCAAATTCAACTAAAATTAGTTGTGATCTAAGTCAGAGAGCAGTGGACCTTAAATTACTCATGAGTTGCTACTACAGAATTTTGAACAAGGTATTTGTAAAAAGATTTGCTTCCCCCTCCCCCCCGCTATTGTCTGTGTTTCTGTTTTCCTCTTGAACATGAAGGACTTCTTAAGCAGTGTCTAAAATCACCATTAGAGGATTTAGTGATTTCTCCAGGTTTCTTTAAAATGCTGCACCTTAACTGATTTAACTTGTCTGATAATTTAGTGTAAAAAAAAAAACCAGGAGAATAGAAAATCCTACCAGACGTATGTTTCCTGCACGATTACGTGGCAGATATTATCATTTTCAGGGCCGGGGATAGGCATGCTAGTCTATTGCAAAAAAAGCAAGAGACAGTCTAGTGGCACCCTATAGGCTAACAAATCTTATTGAACATAAGTGTTTGTGGACTTGAGCTCACTTCTTCAGATTTGTGAATAACACATTTATACATTCATACATTTATAAATGCAAATCATACACATGTGATGTATTTATAAAGGTGAATTATAGAGAGGAACATAACCACAGCTGAGGGCAAAAGGAAGACTAGAAAAAATTGGAAACATCAGAGACCCTAAGCATCAAAGCTTTGCTTCATTAATAGATTTCACTGTTGCATTACACTTTGCATTCTTTGTTATTTTCCTAAAGAATGAATTATTTCTCTAACATCTGTATTTAATCATGTCTAAACTGATGAATGTTTTTCACTTTTACACATTCTTGCGGAATAACTCTGTTCTTCTACTTGTAGTTTTACGTTTCCTTCCCTTTTAGCTATCTAATAAGATTATATTTTGGATTTGTTTTAACGGTACAAAAATTAAGTATTCCTAAGAATGAAAAAAATTTGTTGGGATTTTCTGTCCTCTTGATTATTCAACTAAATTAGCAAATAAGCTAAATAGTGGTGGATTTCCTTTAGCTCTAGACTTTGCTCCCTCCCATAAAAAGGGGAGACCCACAATGTCCTGTAGTTCTTACAATGTCCTCCTGAGGACCACTGATTTGCATGCTGAGAATGACAAGTATGAAACTAATACTGAATCCTGTTTTTCAAGGGATTTCTGTTGCTTTTTCTGGGTCCTGGGAAGAACTGGCCTGTCTCCCATACTCTTGCTAAGGCAGTCACAAGGGATGGCTTTGCCCATTTCCCTTTTTCCATTGGCTCTAAGGATGGGTGATGCGAATCTTCCCTTGTAGTAGTACCTACTCTATTTGGTTTTATCCTGACATCCAAATCTGCTGCATTGCCTTTCTTTAAGGGATCTGATTTCAACTTGTACGCTGTATGATTTATTTCCAGTATTTAATATCTTTTGAATCCTTTCCTATATACCAGTATCTTCTAGTCTACCTCACTATAGCATTTTTGTGGGGAAAGCTTTCCACATTCCATCAGTTTTCAAGCTTGAGTAGATGTATATTTTGCAAATAGTTAGGTAGCATACTAAAAACAATGTTATTTGTTTTCAGATCATTGCCAAGACCTCTAAACTATAATTTCATTTTATTCGAAATAGTATATTCTGTATTGTGAAATGATATATCTATAAATCCAAACAGAAAAAAATACCACATACACAACTGCTGCATTGTTTAGAATATATTTATTATTAGCACTCTTTAATTGGATTTTCAAATCAGATATTAATTATGATGCAAGAATGACCTAAATCTTTTTTCTAGTTCCAGCTGTTGAATAAATTGCTGAATCATAGGTCAACATTTATGTAAATTTCATGGACCAATTTAGGCTATTGGATTAGGCGATAGCATTTTTTTCTCTTTAAATTTTGAGACAATTGAGTACTGTTTCTTGTAGAAAACTACTTATTATATTATACACATTAATTTTCTAGGAACTGCGTATGCATTTGTTTCTTTTTCAAAATTCTGTTTCTTTATAGATCAAAGCTTTCAATAAAACACATTTTCAGGGAACATGTATAGATTTTACAGAAGAAGCCACTGACCTGGAATCATTCACACCTTGCTCTTTTAAGGTTCTGCGGGGATGGTGAGCGAGTTTATAATCATTTTTAAGCCTCTTGGAAACCCTTATAAACTGCTGCCCCTGGGCCTCAGCAGGGACCATCACGAGTGCCATCTACTTCTGCACCAGTAGACCTTTTGAAAATATTGTCTCCCTTGCCACCCCACTTAGCATTGAGAAAAGCTCAGGGCAGGAGGGAAGGACTTCCAGGTGTGTCTGTCCGGTACAGACTTTAGGGGGAATGATAATTTAGTTTTTTTTTCTCTGCAAGCTCCTGCTCCTAACATCCTAAGCAGAAGACCTTGATAGCCATTCATTGCAAGGGTCAGATCAGTGAAAAGGTTGAGAGAGATTCTGCCCAGGAAAAAGCTGGTGGTTTGGCATGTCAAGTTGCTATTTGTAGTAGCAGTCTCTGTTGGACATTGCTATTGTTCTAGAGAGAACCAGGGTGGAGTGGGTGGGGAGTAAGGAATGCCAGAAGCTCAATAAAGGTTCTTTTGGGATTATTTTGACATTGTAACAAAAGATGGAAATGTATTCTTGATTTGGGCTGCAGTCCTCATTACACTTGGTTAGGGAATAAACCCCACTGAGATCAAAGGGATTTACTGCAAAACAGTTTTGTTTAAAATGGTGTAATAGGACTGCCTTTGCAGGGGTATGCAGGTTTGCCTTTCAAATGAAATGGCCCTGTCTCGATTTAATTTAACTTGCAAAAGCCCCCAGATACATTAAAGCAACTAAACTCATACTCTTTTTAATTTGAATTATTGCAACAACCCATCCACCTTTCATTTCCATTACTTTTAGAATTTTATACCCATATGTTAATTATAATGCATTTGAAAGAAAGTCAGGGGTGGTTTGGTGCCATGGATGTCCTCAGGTAAATGCAACAGTGCCTGTTTGGGAAGAAATGCTATTGAATTTCATAGAATGTCTCACTAAACAAGTCTGAGCTGTATATTTCTGGATCAACAATGGCCCTGTTTGGGGCATTCAGAAAGTGGTTAATCTGTGAGGAGGAGGCGGTACTAGCCCCTGCCCCCGCCCCCTGTTGTTGTGCAGAGTGACAGTCTGAAGAAATTTTCTGTGCAAATGGAGACTAAAAAATACCAGTGTTCCTGAACAAGTGTGTGTAGTAGAAGCTTTCCTTTTCAAACTTGCTCTGTACATGAAGCAAGCAATGGGGAGGGCCAGGGATTACACTTCATCTTCTGATTAAGTAACTTTTTCCTGTATGACAGAACAGGGCTGCTCTCTCAAGAGACATTGAGAGACTTAAATCCATGCACCGTAGCTGCGCAGTGTTCCTCTCTTTGCCATCTCTACTGCAACAGTATGCTCTGAGCCCTTCTCCCTGGACGTCCACAGGGTCCTGCAAGGGCCATTACCACTGAAAGGCATGTGGTTTGAGAGAAGAGGAGCTCAAGCCTGGAGCCAGATTGATTTCTTTATTTTCTATTTCTGCTAAATTACTAAAGTGCTATGCTTAGATCGAATTCCTTAGAATGGAATCAATGTCTGTTCAGAGTTTTCTTCTATAACTGTTTTATTTGTAGGAAAACATAATGGTTTGTTGCAACAGTTAACCTTTTCTTGGATCTCTCCTTTCAGCTGGTTGCTTTGTTACCAAGGGGAAACTGGTGATAATTGGTGTGTGCTGGAAGAAGACCTTTATGCTGACCTTGCTTCCTGTGGCTGTCCAGCCGCTGCGGTCAAGTCCCTTAAGCCTGTTGAATATGTAAGAACTTTATTTAAAGGTCTGTTTCCATAACCAGCTATATTCAGAGGAAATCTACTAAACTGGAGAGCCTTATATTCAGAGAAAATAGCACTCAGCATAGGAATTGTCTTTTTGGCTCAAGGATTTTGATTTGCAAGAGAGTTGGGACAAAACAAGTACATAGATACTAGTGGGATTTTGATTTTATTTATCTAAAGAAACTAATTATTGGTTGAAAAGCGGTCTAGCAAAGTATTAACACACCTTGACACAATGGAGAGCATGACTGGAATAGGATTTGTAGACACACATACCAGTCTGGCAGAGCTAGTAAAGCAGCTACTTGCATTTGGAACCTAATTCATATTATTTCTGAGAAATATGCTTATAATACCAAGAAATGCTGGGCTAAAGAGAGATGTACAGTATGTGCATTGCTTTTCAGAACTTGGCTGCTTAGCTATGTTAATCTTTTGTGAGAAATGCCTGTATTTTAAATAGGCAGTTATTAAAACTTTGGTTGGAGCAGTTATCAAGTCTAACTGACCTTGTGGCCAAAACATGATAGTAGTTCTCTCACATCTTAATACTGCTTGTCTAGGATGGGTATAAGCAGAGTATTAAAAGTAATAAGTTACCATTATACTTTGTAGTCTCGAAGGCTTTCACGGCCAGGATCTAATCCGAAAAACCCACAACTACCATTATAATTCCTAGGTCTTATAAGTAACAAGTTACCATTATAATTCCTAGATCCCCAAAAGTAGTAGCTAGTAGTCATTGTTGTTGCTGTTGACTTGTATACTGCTGAAGCACTCTCTGGGCAACATAATTATTTTAATTATTTAATTAACCCTTTTACCATTATATGGTGTGTGTTTTAAGTAACTCTTCTCTCTTTACTGGAGTAAGAATAGGGCATGGTTCAAGTGCAACCTGATTCTGCCTTGAAATCTGTGGTAATATTGAGGTGTTGGTAAGGTGGGTGGGAGGAGAGTATGTTTTATGTCAGCACTGAGTTACTTTTTGATTCTTTAACAAACATATCTGAATGCTACAAGCCATTCACTGCTGGCATAAAACATACTCTCCTCCCATCTACCTTACCATCACCTCAATATTACCACAGACTTCAAGGCAGAAGCAAGAGGCACAGCACAAGGTTGCACTTAAACCATGCCCTATTCTTACTCCAGCTTTTTAGTGAGGCTATATTCCTATAAGTGCAAAAGTAAATTGAAAATTACAGTTGTGACCCAAGAGGATTTATGTCTCTTATTAATCTGCAGTTCTAGTACAGTTATACTCTAGTTACTGGAACTGGAAACTAATTGCAAACAGTTAACTATTTCCTTCTAAGCTTCACAAATAGATGGAGAAAACAAAATTACCATTGCAGTGGTGCCTCGCACACACACATGCAGAAACCTTTATTGGCATTACAGGGTACAGGGAGTACACAAGATAGTTACATTCCAATACCGGGTGGGGGGAAGGGCGAGGTTGGGATTATAGTTAGCTAGGTTCAGAGAGATTTACAGAGGGTTTAGGGTAGGGGGAGGGGGGGAGGGGAGGTCTTCATAACAGTAAGAAGAAAGTCAGCAACTTGACTAGTGATAAAAGGCGAGAAATCACTCAGAAGTATGGGGGGAAGGTCGGGGAAAAAAGGGGAGAGGGAAGAGAGGAGTGGGCCTAGTAGCCGCTTACGGGGGATGTTGTGGGATGGGCACCGGAGTAAGATGTGGTCCAAGGAGTCGGGTTCGGATGCACAAGAGTGACACAATCTGTTGGGGCGGGGGATTCGAGTGAATCTCCCAAGATGGGCTGCAGATGGGAAGATATTCAGCCTAGCGAGCATAAAAGCTCGTCTTTTTTGAGGGTTGGACAATTGGTTAAAATAATTGGAGGGGCGGCCAAGTGCACCGTTTAACAATTAATCTGCATACCGATGTGGCTTTTGCGATCGCTTTTACGATTTTTCCCCATAGGCAACCATTTTCCCCCATCTGACTGGCGGGAGCCTCTGAAGGCCCGCTCCCGCCGCTCAGCTGGGGGAAAATGTCGGCAGTGGGCGGCAGCCTCGGAAGGACCCCGAAGCCGCTGCCCGACTGCCGACATTTTGCCTTCCCAGCTCTCAAAGGGCCCCCCTCAGCTCTCAAAGGGCCCCCTCCGATATGGGAGAAAGCCCTTTGAGAGCTCGGAAGGCTCTCAGCGGCGGCGGGGGAAGGGTATGGGGGTGTCGAAGGCTTCCAGGCCTTTGCCTGGAAGCCTTCCGGACACCCCCCCACCCTGCCGCCGCCACCACTTGGATCCGCCCCGCACTCAGCCGAGCACGGGGCGGATCCAAGCCCTGGATGTGTAGAAACGCCGGCCGGCTCTTGCGAAAGAGGGAGGTGGAGGTCCGTGCTCTCCTTCGCAAGAGCCGGTCGGCGTTTCAGCTGGGCAGCGGGCTCTTGCAGAGGAGGGAGGAGGCTCCCTCCTTGCAAGAGCCCGCCTCCCAGCTGATCGGCGGTTCCCAAATGGCCACCAGTTTCGCACTCCGCTTACCGAGGGCGCGAAAATGGCGGCGGGATGGAGGAACTTCGCTGAACGGTGAGTACAGAAGCCATTGGAACGCCTTAAACTAAGTTTAATGCGTTCCACTGGCTTTTTGCTTTCCGTTTAACGACGTTTTCACATAGCGAAGGTTAATCCGGAAAATTTCAACTTATGAACGGCTCTGTTCGCAAAATTGGCTATTTCCTCTCCTTCATGTGGAGCACATTTAAGGTACATAATAGTGTCGTTTGAAGGAAGACTGCGTAAAGTGCCTTCGATAACCTGCCTCTGTCATGAGTGGGGTTTCCTGAAGTTCGGGCAGATTAAGCAACAGTGGTGGCACTGAGATTAGTGCCATGGAGCTGAAGTAAGGATGTTGCTGCAGCAATTCAGTCCTCCCAATGTGGTGCTTCTGCTTCTGGAGCAAGAGAATAAAATGACAGCTGTTTTTGTACCCTTGACAATTACCCTCAGCAAGGCCTGGCGCAGCCACCTCAATCAGGCTGATTAGATCCCTTCATGAAAGGTTTTCCTCTGTTCACTGAGCATTGAGGGGAGCTCTGAGAAGCTACACCAAGCACCCTGGGGGCAGTGGGGAAAAATATTTTCCTCTTGCTCTTCAGTGCTAATAGGAGCAGCTTATGGCAAACAAGGGAGCCCATTTTAATCACTCTCACATGTCACCAATTTAGTGTTGCACCAGAGCACATTGGGAGCTTTGAGAAAGGATTAAAATCTTGGTTCTTTCACCACAAGCATGCAGCACCCCTCTGGGAACCAAGGGGTTCTTTTAAAGAGCCTATCCAATGCACACATATGGGTCAACAATGAGGGTCCCTACTAGGCCCTATATTTCTCCAGCCCTATGTTTATGCTGGGTGTACTTCAATTTCCTGCCTCAGATGTGTATAACAGACCAGTAGCTGCATAAACATTTTAAATAATTTGCACATACACTTCTTGAGTACCACTTACCTAGTTGTATTTACCTTAAGCTCATCCCATTTTCATTTTGCTTCAATGACTGTTTTGTATGGCTGAATAGCTAGTAGAATCAGGAAACAACTTTCTAGCAATATATTTTATCTAGATTTTGACAAACTATTCTTCAGACTACAAAGTGTGTCAGCTAGTTTGTCTCTTAAGAGCTTTGTTATACGGAAATATTGCCAGGTTTTCCTGCTAGGAAAAAATATTACAGGTTAACAAATGATCCATCCTAACAAGAACAACTGAAGATTATGATACAGACGTAGGAACTGTTGATCATGTGGTACGGCAAGGTTAAAGATAAAGTTCCTGTGACATACATACAGTGGGACTTCGACTTACAAACATCCCTACCTACGAAAATTTCAACTTATGAACGGCTCTGTTCGCAAAAATCTGTATCGACTTGCGAACGGAGCCTCGGCCTACGAATGAAAAAAGATGGGAAAAGGGCAGGAAATTCAAATTTTCCCCTGCCTTTTTTTTTGTTCCATTCAAACCATTGCAACTATAGTTTTCTTTGCAGTTGCTTAGATTTGTAAGACCTCTGCAGAACCTTCCATAAACAGGCAGCTTTGCACAGCCAGAACATTTACAAGGTTAGTACTAACCAGGGTTTGCACAAAATAACATTTAGGCAGCAATGAGATGTCACCTTGTAAGCTGGAAGGCTGGAGAAGTGGAGAAAGTCTATTATTAGTGTCTTGCACAGTACAATTGTTACCAATCTCTCTTGCAGGTTTTTGCTGAGCCTTTCATCAGCCTTTTTGCTTTGGAGAATTATGAAGGCAAGGAGCTGCGTTTGCAAGAAGCTGTCAGTTCAGTTCTGAATAAAGATCTTCATTTTCTTACTCAGTCTGTGTGGGTGAGGAGTGGACTGTAAGTATGAGACATTTACATCATAGAATACAGTAATATGTTGAGAACTGGGTCTCTGCATTATTTCTACAGTGGAACAAGCTTTTGCTGCTTCCTCCCTCGTCTTTGCAAGCTGAACTCAAGGCAGAGGGTAATAATCTTTCCAGACCATATTAAAAGATAACAGTGGATGATACTGGATAGAACCATGGCTGGAATTTTGTTGGCATAAGTTATGTCAGTGATGTAATCAGCCATGGCCATGCCACCACCATGAAGTGAATATGTTGCAGACAAGCTGGAACAAGAGAAAAAGTGCATCAATAAATTGCAGTTTTAGATCAAAGCATCTGACTTGCAAAACAGGAGGTACACAAACTTACGTCAGCAAAAGATTTGAACGTCAGCCAGTTTAGATTCTACACGTGGTTCTTTGATAATGCTCTTTGGGGGGGCACAATCCCTTATGGATGCACTGAATTAGATAGCTGTTCATGCCTTGAATATGTTCTAATAATAATCATTAATATCATCAAGTTGATTCTGACATATGGCAGCTCTTTCTAGAGTTTACTTGGTACAAAATACTCAGAAGTGGTTTACCAGCCCCTTATTCTGGAAGCACCCAGGAACTGCACAGTGGAGAATAGAATCCCCAATTTCTGGCAAATGCAGCCAGAAACGTAACTCACTGAACTGTCCAGTCACTTACAGTTGAAGACTACATGACAAAAATACATGCCTATCTCTGTGCCCTCACAAAAGCTGACTCATATAAGAGATTTTAATAGAAATTGTTAGCTGGAGGAAAAATGAGCCTCTTTTTAGAAAAAGCAAATGAAAGATCTTGTGAACACGTGCTAGGCTTTGAATTATAGCCACCAGGTCTCAGATCCCCAACACAGGGATTGCTATACTTCTTTGGGTCTCTAAGATTAGAGACATGTCTCACTTTAAGCAGCATTGCAGAAAGACTCGTTGTTGTTTGTGCACTTGACTTCCAGCACTTATCTTTCTCTTCCTTCCATCTCCACCCATTTCCAGCAAATGCTGGGGTTCACTGTCTCAACATGAAGCTATTTGTATGCAGCTTGTATATGCAGAATGTTAGTGCATCAAAAAGCTAGAAGTGGGTGAAGGGGCTAGGAAGAAGCTGATTAATATAGGGACCCACATGCCATTTGGAAGAGGACAAGGAATGGTTTGCTGTAACTTGCAGTCCTTCTTGTGACGACAGCTCTGGCACTAGCAGCCCAGGGGCTGGAAAAACTACCTGTGGACCTTCCACAAACCAAAGCAGCTGCATATTACCTGGAGGTGTCACGTAGGTGCCAAATTGCTTAGGCTCATTTACTCTTAGTGCCCATTTCCACAATCAGAAGCAGTTTTGGACCCTGTGACTTACCTGTGACATCCCACGAACCCACCACAGCCTCAGTTTTTGACCCTGAAATCTCAGGGAATGGGATGCGACTAAACAGGCAATTACACTTCGAATACACCTAAAGGAATTTAGCATTTCAAATGCTTACTCAATTTTGTTTACTTCTTTGAAACATGTATTAATCTAAATTGCACAGTGCTAACATTTGCCGCACTTCCAACGTGGCAAATATGCCAATTACTGCCCTATATTTTTAAAGTAACTAAACCTGTATCCAAATGGGGAAGGTAATAGTATGTGCTTTGTGAATACTTGACATGACAACGCTTCTCCTTTCTTTACAGCTGAGATTGGCTGTCATTTCCCCCCAACAGGCTACTTTATTAGAAGTGCTTGTGCTCTATCCTGCATGTGTATGTTTCCCATTTATATGTGCGTAAGATTGCAGCCTTCGTAACTTACCTGTAACGGCATTTAGCATAATGCTCTTGTGGAAACCGTGAATATTCTTAAATGTAAGAGATTGATCTCAAACTTACAAAGTTATAATGGTAGTGTCAATATAACTTACATTCCATTTTAAACCAGATGGATTGCATATGAAGGATGCCACTTCTTAGGAAAGCAATTTCTCCTTGAACCTACCAAGATTTCAAACTGGACTCAGTTTAGTGGCTGGAAATTAATTGGTTCCCTTCGTCCTGTGAAGCAGGTACTGTACCAAAGGTTTCCTTCAAATAGTTTGTTTTTTACAGAGAAATACAGTGGTGCCTCGCATAGCGAGGTTAATCCGTTCCGGATTAACCCTCGCTATGGGAAACATCACTGTGCGGAAATAAAAAAGCCACAGAAATGCATTGGACTTTGTTCAATGCGTTCCTATGGCTTGAAAACTCACCGTTGTGCGAAGTTCTTCCATAGCGCTGCCATTTTTGCGCCCGCGGTAAACTTACAGAGAAATACAGTGGTGCCTCGTATAGCGAGGTTAATCCGTTCCGGATTAACCCTCGCTATGGGAAACATCACTGTGCGGAAATAAAAAAGCCACAGAAATGCATTGGACTTTGTTCAATGCGTTCCTATGGCTTGAAAACTCACCGTTGTGCGAAGTTCTTCCATAGCGCTGCCATTTTTGCGCCCGCGGTAAACGAGGGCAGGGCGCGAAAATGCGGCGGGGACCTTCTGGCGGCCATTTTGGAACCCCCGATCAGCTGTTCTCCCCTGCTTCGTTATGCAATATTCGCTAAGCAAATCGCTTAGTGAATATCGCAATGCGAAAAACCTCCATAGGGGCCATTGCTGAGCGAATGCTCCAGCGATGGCCCAGAGCCCCTCGTTAAGCGATTTAATCGCTCTATGGGGCGCTCGTTATGCGAGGCACCACTGTACAGGCATGTGTGTTTTTATCTTGGTCTTGAATTCTTTAAACACGAAGACACCAAGCCCCCCCCCCCCAGCCTCCAAATGGATCTTACATCAGGGCAGGAAATAGATGTTTAAGATAACCTGCAGTGAGGTTTTCTTTTCTTTTTTACCATGGGTTATCTGAAAACAGTCATGAAACCACCTGTTTCACATGTCCTTACTTTAAAGCAAGACATGGAGCAGCCACTAACCCATCAGCCAGTCAACGCTACAGCCAGCCACTACTGACACTGCAGTACAGGAGTACACTCCTCTATTGCAGTGAGTCCTGGACCCTTTGTGCACAGCAGGAGAGGAAACTGAACACGTTCCATACGCGTTGCCTCCGATGCAAATTTGGTATCACCTGGCAGAACAAAGTTCCAAATGAAGTAGTCCTAGAATGAGCTGGAATTTTTAGTATGTATACATTACTGAAACAGTGATGTCTACGTTGACTTGGGCATGTCATGAGAATGGCTGATGGTTGGATTCCAAAAGATCTCCGGTATGGAGAATTAGTGCAGGGAAATCACCCCAGAGGGAGACCACAGCTGCAATACAAGGACATCTGCAAGCAGGATCTGAAGGCCTTAGGAATGGACCTCAACAGATGGGAAACCTTGACATCGGTGAGCGTTCAGCCTGGAGGCAGGCATTGCATCATGGCCTCCCCCAATTTGAAGAGACACTGGTCCTGCCGGCCGAGGCAAAGAGGGAGCCCCGAAAGCAGCAAAATCAGGGATCTGGACAGAGGACAAATTGCATTTGTCTTCAGTGTGGAAGGGATTGACACTCTCGAATTGGCCTTTTCAGCCACACCAGATGCTGTTCCAAGTCCTCCATACAGAGCACGTTAACCATAGTCTCTCGAGACTGAAGGATGCCTAATCTGACAGTGCCAGAGCCTGTGCCAGGGGAAAAGGAGCCGCTGGAGCTTACCCTCAAGCTAAAACGTCACCAGCCCACCTGTATCTGAGAAGCCTCCCTGGCACTGGCCAGGTGGTGACACTGCTCTTGCTTGAGGGGCAAGTTCAGCAGCTCCATTTTTGCCACACATCAAGTCCTGACCTCAGTACTGCCAGCGGCTGAGACGCCTCCCAGCACTGGCCAGCTGGAATGGAAGCCCTGGTGTGGTTTTAAAATGGTGACAATGCACACTTTTTAAAAATGTACCCGAGCTTCTGTTTTGTGAAATGACCAAAGCCATTCAGCTTTCTGCCAGTTACAGAAGTGTTGCAACAGCGGCGCATGATCCAACTATTCCTCTATCAGAGGAAAAGTTAATCATATGGCTTAATAATAGAGGATAGATCTTTCCTGTGAGGCATGAGATGATGAAATGTTCTGTTTTCAGCCAGCAGTGTACTTCAGGATAAAGAACAGATCCCAAGACAAATATCTGACAGTAACTGGAAAGCTAATGGATGCAAGAGCTACATCAGTATGTCTTTCTCCATTAAACTGCAAGAATACCCAGATCTGGCGCTACAGTTGTGGCCTTATCAAATCAAAGGTACTTTGCGAGTTGTTGAAACTGCAATGTCTTGTTTCACTTCCCTAGGCTCATTAAAGTCAGGCTATTCCTACAGTGTACATAGGAATCGAAAGATGTGATTTGTGGCATATAAACTTTAGCTGGGATGAAGGGTATGTAACCCTTCTTCTTTGTGGTCTTCATCACTTACATCAATGGACTTCTGTGCCTGTGCATTTGATTGTTCAGATCATTCTAGAGTTGATATTTGCCTGCCCTTTCCACCAACTGAGTTCTTAGCCCATCCAGATTCCAAACCAATGGCCGAGATCTTCTTGCACGGCTGCACAGGGAGAAGGGAAATCATGTAACATTTAATCACTTCCAGCCAGCAATTAAAAGGTCACCACTGTGATTCTTGGAAGCACACACATCCACTGGCTTGGTGTACAATCAAGAATCCCAAGTGGGGACTTAATTGCCAGCTGGAAGCAAGTGAGCGTTGCACCATTTGCCTTCTGTGTAAAAAAAACCAAAAAAACAGGATTTTAGCCAATGTTTTTATTCTATTCACAAATTGATGTTTCCTACTTGCTAAACTTTAAACTGTAAAAAGACTTAAAACTGCAAACTAGGTCATATGTTTTAAAAGCAAATAGAGTACTTTTATCACTTAAAGGTTGCTTGTTTTTATATCAGCCTTGAGGGAGAAACAAATTCTTATTTCTGTGTCTTTTTTTAAAGATCGGTTGCGCTCAATGTGGTGCATTCATTTGCGCAAAGCCTCCTTGTAACTTCCCTAAAATGTTGCTTTAGTGCCTTTTTATCACAAGGATATGCCAGTTTATATTTGATGTTAGAGATAATTTTGCATCAAGATTTGGAATGAAACCATTGTAATAATTTCTATCCATCAACACTTTTTATGCCTTTTCATTAAACTCAGTACAGAATAGTAAATGTCTATGTTAACTTCGGAACATGATAATTTGCCAACAATATTTAGGCAGATTGCATTACACTGGTGTAAAAACACTATTTGAATCAATGGAACTTACAGAGGAGGTGACTCACCAAATCCCCAGGTTCAGCAGGCCTACTTTAGTGCATCTTATTATGCTAAAGCAATAATATTTCAGTCATTTAATTGTTAAGTTTTTAAGGAACCATAGAAAATGATATACAGTATGTATTACTATGGTTTACATCCTTTTCTCAGGTAGCATTTCGTTGTTTACTTCAAACTGATGTAGTCCAACACATCTACAAAGTGCCATGTTGGAGAATGCTGAATGGTTGTAACAATCTGTTTAATTAAGCTTTGTTGTTGATCTGAATCTCCTTTCCCTTCTCCCTGCCAGCTATTTCTGTGTTGCTCACTATTCCTTCAAATACTGCAGATTGCATATCTCAGTAGAATAGCAGTTATGAAAAAATGATGCCATTAGTTCAATTAAGGGACACTGGTCCAGTGCAATGCCAAAATGTAATGGTTAATGACTCCAAAGGTTAGTCAGGTAGATAAAGTGTACAGAATTATTAAGCAGAAATACTTTTGAGTGCCTCTGAGCTTATGAGGTATCTCTTTCTGCAGCATTGAATAGCTGCATCCTTTGCCTCCTCATCCACTTAGAATTAAGAAGAATGGTTTAAAGTATTAAAAGGTCCAGACATACACATTTTCAACCCCCTGCTTGATACAGGAATACAAATCAAAGGATATATTTCCCTCTTCTCCATCTAAAAGGATGGGTGCAGTGTTCTTTCTCTTTCACATATACACATCCTGCACCATACCTGGCTCTGTTTCTGGCCACTCCCAGATGTTAGTTTTATGCTACAGTCAGAGAATATAGAAGTAAGGAGCAGCTCCTGCCCACTGTTGCTGCCATAATTATCTCTCCCACATTTCCTGGTTGTGGCTTAGACCTTTTCCGCGACCAGCAACACAGATTAACTAAAACTGCTAAATCTTTTAAAGTTGTGGGCAAATGTTAAACTAATTAGAATCTAATTAAGGTGTCACTATCATAATGGCATTTAGCCTTCACTGAATTAAAGGTCAGTGGCCAGAATGCTATTACTTATGCCTTCTGGGTAAACTGCCACTACTTAGGAGACAGACACCTTTCACATCCATCATGAGAAGGAAGGATTCTTTGGAAAAGACAATCATTCTGGGAAAGATGGAAAGTAGCAGTAAAAGAGGAAGACCAAATATGAGATGGACAGACTCCCTAAAAGAACCTCAGGCTTGAGTCTACAAAAGCTGAGCAGGACTGTTGAGGACATGACATTCTGGAGATTGCTGATTCATAGGGATGCCATAACACATAACAAGTCAGCAGTGGCTTCTTGACCACTTAAGGCTAAGAATAAGTGAGTGTAGAACAACTGTAACTTTATGTGGTTTCATATTACTTGGCATACAACAAGAAATTCAAATGCTGCCTTCTTAACCGGTGGCTGGATTGTGCCACAGTAATATGTATCGAATGACTTAAGGTAGCAGTTATTCAGTGGGATTCCCTCATTACTTTGCTTTGTGGTTGCTGCAGGGTTTTCATAGCATATTTGACAAGTGTTTTGTGTAAAGATATCTCTGCGAGAAATGTTGAATAAATTGTCTTCCTTATCCTCACCCCTGCACACATATAGGCTAACGATGCTTGCCTTGATGTCATTGGAGGCAGAGACGTATCTGGAGCCAAAGTAGCTTTGTGGATAGAGCATGGAAAGGCAAGGCAGAAATGGACATTTAACAAAGATGGGACCATCAGTTCGTACCTCAGTGATCAGCTTGTTCTTGATGTCAAAGGTACTGACAAGCATCCAGTTGGTTGTTTTATCTGCCCTTTTAAGACAGAACAAAAAAGGAATGACTTCACCTTTTCTTTTTACTGCTCTTACACTAGTTTTAGGTGAGGTTGTGTTTACTTAGAATAATGTAGTAAGTGCATATAGGTATGAAAACAAAATGTGTACTAAAGATTACACTTCCTGGGAACAGGCATTCAATAGGTCTGAGAAGTACTCAGCTCTGTGCTGCCAGTTACATGGACAACTATAATAATAGTATTTTGCAGTACAAACAGCTGCAGTTTGAAATTAAATTGAATGCACAACATACGTTTCCAGCCTGCCCCCTGGAACAATGGGTTTAAAGACTCTTTCTAAATCATCCATTTAGTACATGCACGCAAACACATGCACAGAGCCATTTTTCAACTGTATCTGCCTTCATCCTTGATAGTTGGCGCTGAAAGAAGTTGTCATCCTGAACATCTGAAATGCATTAGGTTGAAGATGGCTCATGCTTTGCTTTATTTTTTTTCCAAGCAAAATCCCCTGAAATGCTGAACTTTAGAATAAGCCACCTCAGCCTGACTCAAATTACTGTAGGTCTGTTTCTCAATTTGTGTTCCAAATTCTCATAAACATCCTATGATAAAAAAAAACTGGGTATTAAATGAAAAGAACTAACAATTCTGTGGGATCCTGAGACACGTGTGTCTGTAGCTGCAATTCTTTAAGCCCCATTCATAGAGAAAATTTTATCTAGTGGTTAAAACCTGTTACCTACTGGATTATATAGAAAACACCTCAATAAGCAGAGAACAATATACAGAGGTGCCTCAACTTACAAACATCCCGACTTATGACCATTTCAAGTTACGACCAGCTATGGCCACAACATTTTGCTTTGCCTTGCGGCTGGAGCTTCCAGTTATGAACAGAAAAAGGCAGGGGGAAAAGGCAGGACATTCAGATTGCTAACCGTTGGTAGGCAAAAAGGCTACTTCTTTGTAGCTCTTTCACCCTAAAGATTAGAGTGAGTGCAATCAAAGGCTTTGGACTGCTTGGTAACGTAAGGTGTTGCTTTCTGCTTTTTAAAAACTGTTCTGGGTGAATTTTGCAGCATGGTTTTGGACTGGGGGGTTATGTTTCTGTGCTGTGGTGGGTCTTTGTTTTTTGGGGTTTTTTCCTCATTTCCAATGGGTCTTGGGGGATTTGTTTGCTTTTTGGGAGTTTTACCCCATTTCTGATGGGTCTTGCACACTTCACTTGCTTTCTGCTTTGCTTATTTTGCATTTCCGATGGGTCTTGCACACTTTGCTTGCTTTTCTTCCCCCCCCCGTCGGCCGGAACGGATTAATCAGGTTTCCAATGGATCTTGCAGTGATTTGTGTGTGTGTGTGTGTGTGTGTGTGTGTGAGAGAGAGAGAGAGAGAGAGAGAGAGAGAGAGAGAGAGAGAGAGAGAGAGAGAGAGAGAGAGAGAGAGAGAGAGAGAGAGAGAGAGAGAGAGAGAGAGAGAGAGAGAGAGAGAGAGAGAGAGAGAGAGAGAGAGAGAGAGAGAGAGAGAGAGAGAGAGATTTTTTTTCCCCTGGCCGGAACAGATTAATTGCATTTCAATGGGAAATGGTGCTTCAACTTACGACCATAGTTCCGGAACCAATTAAGTTCGTAACTCGAGGTACCACTGTAAAGCAAAGATAGAAAGGGGTGTTTTAAGCCATTATATTGTGCGCTGCCTGACCTTTTAAATTGTGGTATCTTCCTAACTACTTTCCTCTTCCTGAAATTGTGTTGTACAGAACTAATTCATTATAGATCTCAGGTGCATAATATTTCCAGATTGCAAAAAATGACAATTTTAAGTTTTTTTTAAAGGAGACATTTTATAAGAACAGCACATATCAAGCAAAATAGTTCAAAAAGGGCTGTACAATAACTGACCTTTCTCAAACTTCTGTTTTAGGAGGATATTATTACGACAGGAACCACATTGTTGTAAACCAGGCTGACAACAACGAATGCTCACAGAAATGGGACTTTGAAATATTGTGAGTCAGTCTCACTACATTGAAGACACTTAAAAATATGGACCAACGTTGGTGGAAAACACTACTGAATTAACTACTGAAGCCACACAAAAATGATGCATGTTGTAGGACCAGCCTAACTACCAACTGTCACATTTCATGTCTTTAAATAGGCCATGAAAAGCTCTGCTAAGTTTATTACTAACCAGATTGTACTTGTGAACAGATGTACTAGATTAGAAAAATGTGGTATATAGGACAGAGTCATAATTAAGCAATAACAAATATCAGATGTTACAGTGTGGGCTACATAGACTTTTGTCTTCTTTTTAACTTTATGGTCCTGTAAAAAAGTATGGTTCTTTAAAAGCTTTACCTCATTATGTAAGAGCTAGTGAGGCTAACCTGCAAAACTCTAAACTAGAATACATCTATAATATTTTACAGTTCTTAAACTCTTAAGAGGAAGTTTTAGATTTTTGCACTCTTTTGTCATACTAGCTCACAGTTTATAGAAATGATGAGTGTCTGCCTCAGGTATGTTTCATAATTGTACATCACATCCACTATATATTTTTGGACTATTTTTAAATGGAGAGTCACATCAGGTCATCAGCTGCCTGAATTTAAAACTCAAAATGGAGATGAAATTCATACCGTATGTCAAAGGGAGCTCATTTCCAGTTAAGCTCACAGATAATTCTCTGTTCTCAAAAGTATTCTATTATTCATTAAATGCTGCAGGATAATTTTATGTAAAGCTTCCAGTGACTGGTTTCAGCTGTTTGCACAGCAAAGTTGTAAAAGGGCAGCTTGATAGAGAAAATGCCTCTACCTAGCTCCGTTACAGTAAAATACCTGCAGTCAGACTTCTGTATAGAAACTCCTTGTTTACACCTGTTGCAAGAAAAGAAAGAATTATTTGTGTCTGTCATGAGTTAACAGATTTATCTGAATAGCAGCCTAGCCATGTTTATTTAAGAGTTCTGCAATATATACAAATGCCAAATATGTGGCAGGCTGTTCCTCTACTGCTATACATACAAAGAACAGTGACCAAACAGCTTATGTTGATGATTCAGGATTGGGCATCTCATGATTTGTTTTTATTTCAAAGTAGTACAAATTGAAGCAGCAGTGCTGTTTAATAACAGTGTATATTATTAATGCTTCTCCTAGGCCCTCATTCCCAATCTAGGTTACACTTATACAAATAAAGCTGAGGTTGAGGATCTTGATTAAGGAAATGGCATTGGGGAAATAAAACAGCCTATTCCCATATAAATGCTGCTCCCGTCCAGAGCGGAGAGCCCCTGCTATTGCACTGAAGTGGAAAAAAATGTATTTTGGGAGCTAGTTCACAGATTTCCCATGTAATGTATATTTGGTTGTTAATTAATGTGGGGACCTTATCATGACAATTGCAACTACCTAAATAAGTAAAACCAAGAGCCAGATTTAGGCATTCATGGGTTAAATTGAATGTGAGTGAAAAAGAAATACATGGCCTTCCTCCCTTCTGTTATGGTCATTTCCCAAAAAAAGGAAAGACTGTAATGCGTGTGGAAATCAGGGTTTCCAATCCTGTGGAGAAGCTCCATGCGGAGAAGATGCAGGACACAGCTAGCCTTCTCCATTTCCTCACAGTTGGAGCTTAAAATCTCTTCTGAATGCCTGTAAAGGACTTAAATATGAAGGCAGCACTGCGTAGCAATGGGTGGTGGGAGGTCAGTTTACCTTGGGTACAACTGAGTCAGAGTTGAGCACTTCAATCTCACTGATTCCTGGAGAGTCTGGACCGTTATACTCACTTGCCTGGACAAGCCCCCCTTAAACTTAGTGAGACTTAGGTTCTGTGACAAAATGTATAGGATTGCACCGTTACTTTGGCTAGATTGTCCTGTATTTTTAATTGAGTGCCCTTTTCTGAGAATGTCATTCAAATCAACAGTAATGAAACCTCTATCTGTCTCACAGACCTGGGGAACCCAAAGACCCCATTATGCTTGCCATAGCGCAGAACTGACTCAAGGGCTCGTACCGTATCTGTACACTGTGTCCCCACTAGAAAGCAAAACAATAAAAGACATAATAGCTTGTTTTCTGCCTACACAGAGTTATTTTTTTAAACTGCCATCTTACATAAGAGCTTTTAAATGGATATGCAAAAGCTGTCTGTACTTGCAGTGTAAATGCACAAGAGAATGCCAGTAGAACTGAAATTCAAGAGTCAGGTCACCTTTTTAACTGTCCAAAGAACCCTTCTACTTTCTATTACTGCATCCACAATAGGCATTGTTATACACAACACTGGTTCAGTGTAACAGTAAATGCAGTGCATTTTTGTAGCTGTTTATTCCAGTTCAAAGCAGTGCACATGGAACAGTAAAGTCTGAATGATGAATCCTTCTCTGATTTTCTTGTTTTGGAGGGGGAGGCTGGTAGGAACTAAAGCAATTGTAAAGCAAAAGTAATTTTAAATCATTTTTAAATGGCTTCATCAATGCAGCATGAGCTGCCATGAATGAAAAGGGGAACTATGTGCTCACAACATATTTGCACAGTTGGTTCATCAGCAAGGTGACTATGTGTGCTTGGAAACTGGGAGAGCACACTAAGGATTGTAAAGTGTAAGGTTTCAGTGTATCTTAAATGTATTTTCAGAATCTAACAAAATCGAGATTAATTGGCTAAAACCAAAAGGTAGATGAGATTTCTCATGCTTTTTTTTTAAAATATACCGCTGCACAGATTTTATTAGCAGGAAAATAGAAAAACCTTTATTTTTATATGAAGACATGGCATTATTAATATATTTAAGAAAATCTGCCTAAGGGCTTGATCTACAACTCGGATCTGTTATGTCAACAACCACAAAACCAACCCCAGAAACAGACTGGATCTGGAGAAACAGGGCCCAAAGGTCAAACTGCTGCCTCTGATTAGAAAACTAGGCAGAGCTGTTGAGAACAACCTGGACTTCCAGCCCCAGCTGTTGCAATAACTTCCATCACTAAAAACAGCCCTGCACTCTCCTAATCCTGTAGTAAAGCTAGATCTTCCTAAGGGTGTGCTGCTGTCTGTATTGCACCCTAAAAGCACTTTAGATTGTAAATAAATTATGTACTTAATTTTTTGTGTTTATATTTTATGTGAGTAGGATCTTTCACTGTGTCTTTCCTCCAAAGTACTTAATAAAGTTTTTTTTCCTATATTACTCTGTCAAAGACGTCTTGAATACACTTGGTATTTCTTTTTTAAAAATATATACTTCCATAACTATGCAAAATTCAGTCAGGAGTTGTGATGGTCTCATCAGGTGTGTCAGTGTTACATAATTAAGGCTGCAATACATTGCTTTTGGGGGAAAAACATTATGGTCCATTGAATTTAACAGTTTATTTTTATCCTGTTTTTCCTGCCAATGTTCAAACTGCCTCGTGACATAATTCTAAAAGTAGACATGTTTCAGAGTCTGCTATAAGGCCATAATTAGAAGCACACTTTGAGTAAGTCCAATTAAAAATACAGTGAGTGCTGCTTTTGAGTAAACATACATAGAACTGCACATTAAAGAATCTTAATCCCTTCCCCTGTCAGCCAGTTCCCAGGATGCCTGAAGAGAAGGGTGTGAGCAGTTTGTGGCCCTCCAAAAGGTGTAGCGTGCTTGGTATTAATCCTAACAAGCACATACTCCTAGCCAATGGGGTTGGATGTCAGGTGTTGCAGCCCGCTGAGGCACAGAGCACCAGATGCTGCACACACTGCCATAGTGTGTTGGCATTTTATCCCTGCTTAGGCAAATACCAATGGCCCACCATGGAGTGTGCCTCTCAAGCTTTTCTCCCAAGCTGACTCCCAGCAGGTTAGGTTACTGTGGCTCTGAAGTACCAGTTACTGGGATACAAAACAAGATCAAGACTGATGTTTTAATTTTAATCCAGTAATATAGAGAAAAGTCAGATACCAGGTCACAAAATGTGAAAACTGCTTTTAATCTTTAGAATTACGGTTTTTAAACAAAGCCATGATGTTGATGCATTATTTTATTAGGAACCTTGTGGCGCAGTGGTTAAACTCTGATGTTTTAATATATACTGATAAGTAATCCATCCAGAGAGTGCTTTAAACACTATGGGGCGGCATATAAGCAGCTTTTTACTGTATAGTGGGAAAGTAGAAAATAAACCAAATAAAGATAACTCACCATTTCCTTATATGCAATATAATAGGCAAAGCTCATGGCCCAAGTTCCATCCCAGGTAGCTGGCTCAAGATTTACTCAGCCTTCTGAGGTTGGTAAATTGATTACCCAGATTGCTGGGTGGGCAATGTATAGCCTGCATAATATATATATGTACTGATAAGTAATCCATCCAGAGAGTGCTTTAAACACTATGGGGCGGCATATAAGCAGCTTTTTACTGTATAGTGGGAAAGTAGAAAATAAACCAAATAAAGATAACTCACCATTTCCTTATATGCAATATAATAGGCAAACATTGTTTTCACTCACTAAGTTCATTACACTTTTGGACCAGAATTCAGTCTCATTGTAGACCAATACTTTTACACGCAAAGAATAACACAGGTTGGCTTAAATACTCAGCCATATTGTGGGCCAGTTCAGGATTTGGAATTGTAGATCACAAGCTGAATATGAGCCAGCAGTGCAATGCAAATCCTATTACTAGTCCCTCTCCATTCGGCATTGGTTAGGCCTCATCTACTGTACTGTGTCCAGTTCTAGATACTGTACCACACTTGAAGAAGGATGCCAACACACTAGAACAAGTTCAAAGGAGGGCAACAAACACAATCAGGTGACTAGAAATCAAGTCCTAAAAGGAACGACTGAAAGAGCTGAGCATGCTTAACCTTGAAAAAAAGAAGACTGAGGAGCCAAGTCCTAAAAGGAAAGACTTAACCTTGAAAAAAAGAAGACTGAGGAGAGATATAATCGCCGTGGTTTAGTCGTGTCCGACTCTTCGTGACCTTATGGACCAGAGCACGCCAGGCCTTCCTATCTTCCACTGCCTCCCGGAGTTCTGTCAATTTCATATTTGTTGCTTAGCAGACACTGTCCAACCATCTCATCCTCTGTCGTCCCTTTCTCCTCTTGCCGT